CCTGCGTGTCTGGAGCCTGTGCTCCGCAACAAGAGAGACCACGACAGTGAGAGGCCCGCGCACTGTGATGAAGAGTGGCCCCCGCTTGCCACAACTAGAGAAAGCCCTCGCACAGAAACGAAGACCCAACACAGCCAAAAATAAAAATAAGTAAGTTAAAAAGAAGGCTCAACATTAAAAAAATAAATAAAAATGAGTCAGGAAACTAATCCAGCAAATGGGTCAAAGGACTATTCTGAAATACAGAGTATACTGGGGTATTTCAGGCCTGAAGCACAATATAATAGCATTTATTGAGCACTGCTGTATGTCAGGCACTTGAGACACACAGTTCCAATTTCTACCACAATTCCAAGCGAAACATTATCATTCCTAATTTACAGGTGAGAGAATGAGCTAAGAAAGGGTAAGTGGTCTATTTTTACTCTCCCTACCTTTAAGGATCCTCTCTGCTCCTTGGCCATTCAACATTGGTCTAGGCTGTTAGGCACTCCTCTGTATTCACTCCCTAGGTCATTTCATCTACTGCCGTCTCTACTTGTCTCCTAAATACATATCTCCAACTCAGACCTCTTCTCTGAGGACCTATACTGCCTATTTGACATCTCCACTTGAACTCTAAAAGTTTTAATTTCCATCCCTCCACTCCAAACCTGGCAAATTTCCAATGCTCTATGTCAGGAACAGCATCATCACTGATTAAGCTGCACAAGCTAGAAACCAAGGAGATATCTTTCCTATCTCTTTCATCATCTTTACTCTTCCCCCACATATACATGATCAAATCTTACGTATTTTAAGTATTTCTCAAATCCATCCCATTCTATCCATTGAAACCACTCTCCCTCCCCACTCCAACTATTCAAAGCTTTTATCATGATTCGCTTAGACTACTGTAAATGCCTACTGGTCTTTTGTATCACTCAACCCATACTCCATACAGAAACCCAGTGATTTCAGATCCACTAACTGTGTTAATTTCAATTTACTCTTAGGCTAAATAACAAAAATTCCTAACAGTGCTAAAAAGGTCTGCATCTAGTCCCTAGCCTCAAATCTCTCCTTGTATTATTCTCTCCCATAGATCAGGTATCAGCAAATTATGGCCTAGGTGACCAATCCACCCTGCTGCCTGTTTTTAAAAATAGCCATACTGGGCTTCCCTGGTGGCGCAGCGGCTAAGAATCCACCTGCAGATGCAGGCAACACGGGTTTGTGCCCTGGCCTAGGAAGATCCCACATCCTGAGGAGCAACTAAGCCTCTGTGCCACAACCATTGAGCCTGCGCTCTAGAGCCCGTGCCTAGAGCCCGTGCTCTGCAACAAGAGAAGCCCCCACTCACCACAACTAGAGAAAAGCCCGCACGCAGCAACAAAGACCCAACGCAGCCAAAAATAAATAAATAAATAAAAAGAAGCCATACTCATTCATTTACATATTGTCCATGCCTGCTTTTTTTTTACAGCAGATCTGAGCAATTATAATACAGGAGGTATTACCTTCAAAGTCTCAAATATTTATTATCTTGCTCTTTACAGAAAGTTTGCCAACAACGGCTTTAGATCAATGACTAGCCACAGTGACCTCCTTTAAGAGCATGCACATTCTTTTCATTCAGCATTAAATATTCTTCCATCCACCCAACCATTCCCCTACTTAAGTCCTATTCATCTATCAGATCTGACAAAAGACAAGTCTCAGGGAAGCCTTTATTCACCCTGTAGACCAGTATATCCCAATTCAGATTAGCCACATTTCAAGTGTTCAACAGCCTCACATGGCTTGGAAGGACAGCTCCAAGTCAGAGGTCTGTGTATTTGGGAGCACTCTGTTCTGTTTTACTGGTAAATGTGCCTGTCGCTGAGCCAATATCACATTATGTTAAATACTAAAGTTTTACGTTATCTGATAGAATAAGCACATATATCATCACCACTCTACCTCTGCCTTTCTTCTTCAGAAGTGTCCTGGCTATTCAATATTTGGTTTTACTATCTCCTCTTCCATATTTGTATTAGAATCAGTGCAGAATTTCTTGAAAAATCTTTGACACTTTGAATGAAACAACACTGAATCTAGAGATAAGTCTGAACAGCAATAACTTCTTTATGATAAGCCATATTCATGGATAGGAAGGCAATAGTTACCCCATTTACTTAGATCTTCTTTAATGTCTTCTTTAATAAAGTTTTATACTTTATTTTTTTTAATGTCTTCTTTAATGAAGTTTTATACTTTTCCACACGGAGGTTTGCACATGATGTTACAATTACTCCCAGGCACTCGATAATCTGCCATGCTTTTATAAATGGTGTCTTCTCTGATTATTTTTTCTAGTTGTTTACTGCTGATGTATAGAGATGCAACTGACGATTACTGATCTTATATGGAGCTGTTTTGCTCTTTTATTAATACTAATAATTTATCTGTAGATCCCTTTTGGCTTTTACATAGGCAATCATATCATCAGCCAATTTTGTTTCTTCCTTTCCAATACTCATCCTTTAAATTTTTTTTCTTATCTTACTGCTTTAACTAGGATCTCTGTATAATACCAACTGGAAGTGGTGATGTTGTGTACATTCTGTCTTGCTCCTGGTTGAAAACGGATTCCATTTCCCTAATTAGGATGATGCTTATTGTAGATTTCATTTGTTTGCATATTTATAGATACCTTTTCTCAAGTAAGTTCTCATCTGTTCATAATTTAGTAGCTTTCTCATGAATTAAATTTTATCAAGTGCTTTTTATATATATTGTTGGATTTTTTTTTTTTTTTTGGTATTATACATTCACAATCCCTTATGTAAAACCCTTAGGGTAAGATATTTTAGAATTCAGAAAATTTTAGTCATCAGCCCTACTGTACAGTACAAAAAACATGCATTAGGTAACAACCCTAACAAACTGTGGGTCAGTACCTGTATTCAAATACATTAATACACTTGCAGTGAACTATATGGATAGTCACTCTAAATAAGACAATGCTTATATGTAGCCTCACACATCAGTTCAAGTCAGGTTTTCCCACCAAGAACAGGGTAAATCAGATTACACTGCCAAGTTCTAAACAAATTTTTGGTTTTCAGAGGTTACTGGATTTCAAAATTGCAGTTAAGGGTCTGTAGACCTGAACTTTACTTAGAATTTTTGCATGTACACTCATAAGTAAAATGAGACTATAATTTTCTTTTCTAATATTACCCGTGACTGGTTCTGGAATTAAGAATAGATAACTTCAGATAATGAATTAAAGAATGTATTCTCCTATTCTATTTTCTGGATTTGTAGAACACTGGAATGATCTGTTCCTTAAAAAGTCTCCTGTAAAATTACCTGGGCCTGGTATTTTTGTGGCAAGATGTAACTATTACTTCATAATTTATTTAATAGTTACAGGATTATTCTAAGCTTTCTTGTCAAGGAGTTTAACTTTGTTTAAACTTTCAAATTTGTTGACATAAAATTGGTGATAGTATTCTCTACTATCTTATTAATCTGATCTATCTGTAATTATATTCCCCTTTTCATTCTCAGGATTTACCTTCTCTCTCTTTTTTTTTTTTTTTTTTTTTTTGGGGTTGCGGGCCCCTCACAGGTTTGG